AAAGGGGGTTTTTTGCGCTCAAAACCGGGGTTTTAAAGATTGAAACAAGTGGGTTTTGGGGGAATACTCTTCACAATTGGCAGGGTATACAGTTCCAAATTGACCACCTGAAGCAGAAATATTTTATTTTTAACTATCAAATCAGACCCTTCTGTCTTAGTAGTTCTTTCATGAGAATTGAGATGTTAAGTATGCTGTCTAGTATTGAGATGCAGATCTGATCGTCAATAACAATTTCTCCTTACCATTGGATCAAGGTATGTGATAAAACAGCTGAGCTTTATTGATAGATGATCGTAGAACTTGTATCCTGCTGAGATCAACTTGGCGAGGATAATAGTATCTAGATCTGGCAACATCATACTCATACCCCGGCAACAGTCCTGACGGTTAGTTAGTTAGTTAGTTAGTTAGTTAGTTAGTTAGTTAGTTAGTTAGTTAGTTAGTTAGTTAGTTAGCTAGTTAGTTAGTTAGTTATAATCATACCTCGGCAACAGTCCTGACGGTTAGTTAGTTAGTTAGTTAGTTAGTTAGTTAGTTAGTTAGTTAGTTAGTTAGTTAGTTAGTTAGTTAGTTAGTTAGTTAGTTAGTTAGTTAGTTAGTTACTTAGTTAGTTAGTTAGTTAGTTATTTAGTTAGTTAGTTAGTTAGTTAGTTAGTTAGTTAGTTAGTTAGTTAGTTAGTTAGTTAGTTAGTTAGTTAGTTAGTTAGTTAGTTAGTTAGTTAGTTAGTTAGTTATACTCATACCTCGGCAACAGTCCTGACGGTTAGTTAGTTAGTTGGTTAGTTAGTTAGTTGGTTAGTTGGTTAGTTAATTAGTTAGTTAGTTAGTTAGTTAGTTAGTTAGTTAGTTAGTTAGTTAGTTAGTTAGTTAGTTAGTTAGTTAGTTAGTTAGTTAGTTAGTTAGTTAGTTAGTTAGTTAGTTAGTTAGTTATACTCATACCTCGGCAACAGTCCTGATGGTTAGTTAGTTAGTTAGTTAGTTAGTTAGTTATACTCATACCCCGGCAACAGTCCTGACGGTTAGTTAGTTTAAATTAGTCTAAATTAGTTAGTTAGTTAGTTAAAGTTAGGTAGTTAGTTAGTTATACTTATGGTGAGGTTCGCGTGCGTAGTTTTTAGAATAGTAGTTAAATGATAAAATCGGTAATCAATAATGGGTTAATATTGATAGATTAATAATCTCAGGGTTTTATTATATTATACAGTAGAAAACCCCAGAAACCTTGAGATTAAGAGGAAGAGGCTGACTGCGTGGCAGAGTAAGAATACACTGGAAGGAGCCGCTAGCCGGAACAAGAGTGTCCCCGACCATGATGTTCCCCAAATAGTTGGGAACCGGGGGGCTGTGCTCCGAGCTGAGGTTTAGTTGAGCGGACACTGTGTCAGGTCGTAGTGGCGACGGGGTCTGGGGGGTTTAAATGTCAGGTATGAAGTGGTGACGGGGTCTGGGGGGTTTAAATGTCAGGTATGAAGTGGTGACGGGGTCTGGGGGGTTTAAATGTCAGGTATGAAGTTTAAAGTCTGGAGAGGATTTTATTATTTAGATAAAGTTAGTTTGAGGAGAGCACTCAGTTAAAGGAGCCGGGGAGTCTTAATACGGACCTGGAATTCCCTGTTAATTTTACTGGAGGGTTCATGTGATGCAGGTCTCTCCTCGTGATGGAAAGAGGGTATAACGGGGCACTTCTGCTCGTTAAATAGTCTAGCATCCGCCTGCAATATATAACACGTGTTACAAGGGTTACACGTGCTACACAATATCACTTGTAGTGTTAAAGTAATCGCTTGTTGCGGCATCAAAATGCAGATTTACAATGAAATGATCAAAAATTAACAGCGTTCAATTATTTCTCAAAAATCATCCAAAATTTTTCTATTTCCATGATCGGCTTAAGTTAGAATAATGAAGTAAACTAGGAAACACTCGGCAGGAATAAGTTGCACTTACTATTACTATCTAGGGTATACTACTATTACTACTACTACTACTACTACTACTACTACTATTACTATACAGTACACTACTACTACTTACCAACGAAGCGAACCCGCGGTGAATGCCTTGAAGTACCTGTCCCAACTCTGAAAGCAGATCAGATCTCTCAAACATCCTCACTACCATCCAGCAGCCTGTAACATGTAATCTTATTAAATAGAGCCTGTAACATGTAATCTTATTAAATAGAGCCTGTAACATGTAATCTTATTAAATAGAGCCTGTAACATGTAATCTTATTAAATAGAGCCTGTAACATGTAATCTTATTAAATAGAGCCTGTAACATGTAATCTTATTAAATAGAGCCTGTAACATGTAATCTTATTAAATAGAGCCTGTAACATGTAATCTTATTAAATAGAGCCTGTAACATGTAATCTTATTAAATAGAGCCTGTAACATGTAATCTTATTAAATAGAGCCTGTAACATGTAATCTTATTAAATAGAGCCTGTAACATGTAATCTTATTAAATAGAGCCTGTAACATGTAATCTTATTAAATAGAGCCTGTAACATGTAATCTTATTAAATAGAGCCTGTAACATGTAATCTTATTAAATAGAGCCTGTAACATGTAATCTTATTAAATAGAGCCTGTAACATGAATCTTATTAAATAGAGCCTGTAACATGTAATCTTATTAAATAGAGCCTGTAACATGTAATCTTATTAAATAGAGCCTGTAACATGTATCTTATTAAATAGAGCCTGTAACATGTAATCTTATTAAATAGAGCCTGTAACATGTAATCTTATTAAATAGAGCCTGTAACATGTAATCTTATTAAATAGAGCCTGTAACATGTAATCTTATTAAATAGAGCCTGTAACATGTAATCTTATTAAATAGAGCCTGTAACATGTAATCTTATTAAATAGAGCCTGTAACATGTAATCTCATTAAATAGAGCCTGTAACATGTAATCTTATTAAATAGAGCCTGTAACATATTGTAATCTTATTAAATAGAGCCTGTAACATGTAATCTTATTAAATAGAGCCTGTAACTGTAATCTTATTAAATAGAGCCTGTAACATGTAATCCTTATTAATAGAGCCTGTAACATGTAAATCTTATTAAATAGAGCCTGTAACATGTAATCTTATTAAATAGAGCCTGTAACATGTCATCTTATTAAATAGAGCCTGTAACATGTAATCTTATTAAATAGAGCCTGTAACATGTAATCTCATAAATAGAGCCTGTAACATGTAATCTTATTAAATAGAGCCTGTAACATGTAATCTTATTAAATAGAGACAGCAGCCTGTAACATGTAATCTTATTAAATAGAGCCTGTAACATGTAATCTTATTAAATAGAGCCTATAACATGTAATCTTATTAAATAGAGCCTGTAACATGTAATCTTATTAAATAGAGCCTGTAACATATTGTAATCTTATTAAATAGAGCCTGTAACATATTGTAATCTTATTAAATAGAGCCTGTAACATGTAATCTTATTAAATAGAGCCTGTAACATGTAATCTTATTAAATAGAGCCTGTAACATGTAATCTTATTAAATGGAGCCTGTAACATGTAATCTTATTAAATAGAGCCTGTAACATGTAATCTTATTAAATGGAGCCTGTAACATGTAATCTTATTAAATAGAGCCTGTAACATGTAATCTTATTAAATAGAGACAGCAGCCTGTAACATGTAATCTTATTAAATAGAGCCTATAACATGTAATCTTATTAAATAGAGCCTGTAAACATGTTATTCTTTTAAATGGAGCCTGTAACATGTAATCTATTAAATAGAGCCTGTAACATGTAATCTTATTAAATGGAGCCTGTAACCATGTAATCTTATTAAATAGAGCCTGAACATGTAATCTTATTAAATAGAGCCTGTAACATGTAATCTTATTAAATGGAGCCTGTAACATGTAATCTTATTAAATAGAGCCTGTAACATGTAATCTTATTAAATAGAGACAGCAGCCTGTAACATGTAATCTATTAAATAAGGCCTATAAAAGTAATCTTATTAATAGAGCCTGTAACATGTAATCTTATAAATAGAGCCCTGTAACTATTGTAATCTTATTAACATAGAGCCTGTAACATATTGTAATCTTTTAAATAGAGCTGTAACTATTGTAAATTTTTTAAATAGAGCCTGTAACTGTTTAAAATTTTTAAAATAGAGCCTGTTTAAAATGATTTTTTAATAGAGCGTAACATGTAATCTTATTAAATGGAGCCTGTAAATGTAAATTTTTTAAATAAGCCCCGTAACTGTTTTCTTTTAAATGGGCCTGGTAACATGTAATTTTTTTAAATAGAGCCTGTAACATGTAACTTTTTTAATAGAGACGCCGCTGTAACATGTAATTATTAATAGGCCTTTTAAACAGTAATTTTTTAAAATAGGCCTGTAAAATGTAATCTTTTAATGAGCCCTGTAACATGTAATCTTATTAAATGAGCCCGTAAATGTAATCTTATTAAATGGGGCCCGTAAATGTAATCTTATTAAATAGGCCTGTAAGTATCTTATTTAAAAAAGAGCCTTTTAACATGTAATCTTTTAAAAAGGGGCCTGTTTAACAGAATTTATTAAATTTGAGCTGTTTTCTGTATCTTATTTTTGAGCAGCAGCCCGTGAACATGTAATTTATTAAATGAGCCCCATAAAATGTAATCTTTTTAAATAGAGCCTGTAACATGTAATTTATTAAATAGAGCCTTTACGTAAACTTTTTAAATAGAGCCTGTAAAATGTAATCTTATTTAAAAAGGCCCCGTAAATGTAATTTTTAAAAAGAGCCTGTAAAATGTTTTTTTAAATAGAGCCCTGTAACTGCAATTCCCCCTTAAATAGAGCCTGTAAAATGTATCTTTTTAATAGAGCCCGTAACATGTTTTCTTTTAAATTGAGACAGCAGCCCGTAAATGTAATTTTTTAAATAGAGCCGTAAAATGTAATCTTATTAAATAGAGCCTATAACAGTAATTTATTAAATAGAGCTGTAAAGTTTTTATTAAATAGGCCGTAACATATTGTATCTTATTTTAATGAGCCTGAAAATATTTATCTTATTAAATAGAGCTGAAAATGTAATCTTATTAAATAGAGCCTGTACATGTAATCTTATTAATGGAGCCTGTAACATGTAAACTTATTAAAGGAGCCTGTAACAGTAAACTTTTTAAAAAGAGCCTTTTTTGGTAACAGAATTTTTTAAAGGGGTAACTGTAATCTTATTAAATGGCCTTTTTTAAAAGTAATTTATTAAATGAGACAGCCCCCCGGCTGTTCATGTAATCTTAAATTAAATAGGCTATAACAAAAAATTTATTAAAAAGAGCCTGTAACATGTTAATTTATTTAAAGGAGCCCGAACATGTTTTTTATTAAAAAGAGCCTGTAACAGTAAATTTTTTAAAGGAGCCTTGAACTGTAAACTTATTAATAGAGCCGTAACATGTAATTTATTTAAATGAGCCCGTTTCATGTAAATTTTTATTTAAAAGGAGCCTTTTAACATGTAAATTTAAATTAAATTGGGCCTGTAAAGAATCTTATTAATAGAGACAGCGCCATAACATTACTTTTTTTAAATTGAGCCTTTTAAAATGTAATTTATTAAATAAACCGCGTAAAATGTTTTTTTTATTAAATAGGCCGGTTTAAAATGTAATCTTAATAAATAGAGCGCAGCCCCGGGGAAAATTAATTTTTTAAATAGAGCCTTTAAAAAATGTAAATTTTTTAAAAAGAGCTGTAACAGTAAAATTTTTAAATAGATGTAAACAGTAATCTTATTAATTGAGCCCGTTTAAAATGTAATCTTATTAAATGGAGCTTAACGGTAATCTTTTAAATAAGCCCGTAAATGTAATCTTATTAAAAAGAGCGCCCGCCTTTAACATGTTTTATTTTAAATAGGCCTTAAAAAAATGTAATCTTTTTTAAATAGAGCCCGTAACATGTTTCTTTTTTTAAATAGAGCCCGAACAAGTAATCTTTTAAAAAGAGCCTGTAACATATTGTAATTTATTAAAATAGAGCCCCGAACGAAATCTTTTTAAATAGAGCCCGAAAAATGTAATTCTTATTAAATGGCCTGTTTAAATGTAAACTTATTAAATAGAGCCGTAACAAATTTAATCTTTTATAAAAAAGAAGCAGCCTGTAACATTAATCTTATTAAAAGGCCTGTAAAAAATGTAAAATTTTTTAAAAAGGCCGGTTAAGTCCGTCTTATTAAAAGAGCCTGTAACATGTAATTTATTTTTTAAAGGGGCCTTAATGTAAAATTTTTTATTTAAAAAAAAAGGGCCCCCTAATTTTTAATCTTATTAAATAGACCCTTGTTTCATGTAATCTTTTTAAATAGACTATAAAATTTTAATTTATTAATTTGAGCCTGTAACATTAATCTTTTATTTTTAAAAAGAGCCGTAAAAATTAATTTATTAAATGGGGGCCTGTAACATGTAACTAAAAAAAATGGGCCTGTAACAGAATCTTATTTAAAAAAGACCGTACATGTAATTTTTAAATAGCCCCTGTAACATGTAATTTTTATTTAAAAAGACCCTGTAACTGTAAACTTATTAATGGGCCTGTAAAATTTTTAATCTTATTAAATGGGGCCGGTTTTAAACCTTTAATTTAAATAGGCCTGTAAACTGTAATCTTATTAAATTGGCCTGTAAAAGATTTTTTAATTTTAGCCTGTTTTTGGTTTTCTTATTAAATAGACCCTTAACATTATCTTATTTTAAATAGCCTGTTTAAAAGTTTTTCTTATTTAAAAAGACCCCGTTAAAATGAAAATTTTTTTAATTTGAGCCTTTTTTTTTCATGGGTTTTATTAAATTAGAGCTGAAAAGTAATTTTTTTAAATAGAGCCTGAAAATTAAACTATTAAAAATTAGACCTGTAATGTATCTTTTAAAAAGCCTTACATGTAAATTTTTTAATTTGAGCCTGTAAAGTAATTTTTTTTTAAAAGGCTGAACTGAAATTTTTAAAAAAACCCTGGCATTTTTTTTTTAATGGCCTGACTTTTCTTTTTAAATAGGTGTAACTGTATTTTTATTAAATGGCCCTGTTTTAAATTTTTTGGAGTAACTGTTTTATTTTGGTTTGGTTTTAAAAAGAGCCTGGGAAAAGTAATCTTATTAAAAAGAGCTTAACTTTTCTATTTAAAAAAGACCTGAACTGTTTTCTTTATTTGGCCGTTCATTTTATCTTTTAATTTGGCTTTAAAGGGGAAATCTTTAAATAGAGCCTGTAACATGTTATCTTATTAAATAGAACATGTAACATGTAATCTTATTAAATAGAGCCTGTAACATGTAATCTTATTAAATAGAGCCTGTAACATGTAATCTTATTAAATAGAGCCTGTAACATGTAATCTTATTAAATAGAGCCTGTAACATGTAATCTCATTAAATAGAGCCCTGTAACATGTAATCTTATTAAATAGAGCCTATAACATGTAATCTTATTAAATAGAGCCTGTAACATGTAATCTTATTAAATAGAGCCTGTAACATATTGTAATCTTATTAAATAGAGCCTGTAACATGTAATCTTATTAAATAGAGCCTGTAACATGTAATCTTATTAAATAGAGCCTGTAACATGTAATCTTATTAAATAGACCCTGTAACATGTAATCTTATTAAATAGAGCCTGTACATGTAATCTTATTAAATAGAGCCTGTAACATGTAATCTTATTAAATAGAGCCTGTAACATGTTATCTATTAAATAGAGCCTGTAACATGAAATCTTATTAAATAGAGCCTGTACATGTAATCTCATTAAATAGAGCCTGTAACATGTAATCTCATTAAATAGAGCCTGTAACATGTAATCTTATTAAATAGAGCCTGTAACATGTAATCTTATTAAATAGAGCCTGTAACATGTAATCTTATTAAATAGAGCCTGTAACATGTAATCTTATTAAATAGAGCCTGTAACATGTAATCTTATTAAATAGAGCCTGTAACATGTAATCTTATTAAATAGAGCCTGTAACATGTTATCTTATTAAATAGAGCCTGTAACATGAAATCTTATTAAATAGAGCCTGTACATGTAATCTCATTAAATAGAGCCTGTAACATGTAATCTCATTAAATAGAGCCTGTAACATGTAATCTTATTAAATAGAGCCTGTAACATGTAATCTCATTAAATAGAGCCTGTAACATGTTATCTTATTAAATAGAACATGTAACATGTAATCTTATTAAATAGAGCCTGTAACATGTAATCTTATTAAATAGAGCCTGTAACATGTAATCTTATTAAATAGAGCCTGTAACATGTAATCTTATTAAATAGAGCCTGTAACATGTAATCTTATTAAATAGAGCCTGTAACATGTAATCTTATTAAATAGAGCCTGTAACATGTAATCTTATTAAATAGAGCCTGTAACATGTAATCTTATTAAATAGAGCCTGTAACATGTAATCTTATTAAATAGAGCCTGTAACATGTAATCTTATTAAATAGAGCCTGTAACATGTAATCTTATTAAATAGAGCCTGTAACATGTAATCTTATTAAATAGAGCCTGTAACATGTAATCTTATTAAATAGAGCCTGTAACATGTAATCTTATTAAATAGAGCCTGTAACATGTAATCTTATTAATACCTACATGTAATCTTATTAAATAGAGCCTGTCACATGTAATCTTATTAAATAGAGCCTGTAACATGTAATCTTATTAAATAGAGCCTGTAACATGTAATCTTATTAAAATAGAGCCTGTAACATGTAATCTCATTAATAGAGGCCTGTAACATGTATCTTATTAAATAGAGCCTGTAACATGTAATCTTATTAAATAGAGCCTGTAACATGTAATCTTATTAAATTAACAATTAGCTAACTAATTAGCAATTAGCTAACTAATTAACAATTAGCTAACTAATTAACAATTAGCTAACTAATTAACAATTAGCTAACTAATTAACAATTAGCTTATTAATTAACAACTAGCTAACTAATTAACAACTAGCTAACTAATTAACAATTAGCAAACTAATTAACAATTAGCTAACTAATTAACAATTAGCTAACTAATTAACAATTAGCTAACTAATTAACAATTAGCTAATTGATTAACAATTAGCTAACTAATTAACAACTAGCTAACTAATTAACAATTAGCTAACTAATTAACAATTAGCTAACTAATTAACAATTAGCTAACTAATTAACAATGTTTCTGCTAACCAGTCTGGATGAGTCCAGCTAAAAGGTGTGAGAGTAGGAGAGGTTGCAAGGTGTCCGAGTATTCCACGCAGTATCTACCTAACATCTGAGAGATTAGCATTATTATTAAATAATATTATTCAATAATCATTCATTGAGTGAAATGTATCATTGAGTGAAATGTATCATTACATGCTAATTTGCAAATTTTTTAAATCATAGAGAATTCTCTTATCAGTTGTTACAAAATGTCACTTTTTTGTTTGATCAAAACTCACATTAGCATAGTCCTTGACAGTTTCGAACTTTCCAGAATTAGAAGGGCCTGTGATAGCTAGAGTTTGCCTGAGGGTGACAGCAGCTACCAAACTGAACTGTACTCTCTCGGTGATAGGTGTTATCACCAGGCGGCTGTATCTGCCAAGGTACTCGTAGTCGTAAGTCATTTCAGCGGTTAGTTGGCTCACTGCAAGGGAGACACACTTGTGTTGAGGTCCATCAGTACACTTCTAGTTGGTTTGGTGAAATGGCACGACCAGGTTTAAACGGATAAAGTTTTTCTGGAGTAAAACAAGTCGCACTAAATTCCCCCCTCCCCCTCTCCCCCCTCTCCCCCTCTCCCCCCTCTCCCCCTCCCCCCCTCACCCCCTCTCCCCCTCTCCCCCCTCTCCCCCTCTCCCCCTCTCCCCCTCTCCCCCTCTCCCCCTCTCCCCCTCTCCCCCTCTCCCCCTCTCTCCCTCTCCCCCTCTCCCCCTCTCCCCCTCTCCCCCTCTCCCCCTCTCCCCCTCTCCCCCTCTCCCCCTCTTCTCCTCCCAGTTACCTGTGATATCGATGCGTGGAGAGGACTTGTTGATATTGGCAGGTAACATGGAACTCAGCCAGTCGAACCTACCCAGCTGAGGGGAGATAGTGAACTTGGGGACTGCCAACACAGCAAACGAGGTCGGGGAGAGTACTTCAACTGTTCGTAGAGCTGGAGACAGAGGTTATTTTAGGTTACAGAGGTTACAGAGGTTACTTAAGGTTATTTTAGGTTACAGAGGTTACTTTAGGTTACTTTAGGTTACAGAGGTTACTTTAGGTTACTTTAGGTTACAGAGGAAGTGAGGTGGAAGTTATTTAAAGATTCTTTTCTGTAGTTTACAATTACATCTAGGCTTCTGTTGCAATCTTGAAAAGATAGAATTTTTAGTGATTTACTATAATACACGGAATATGATTGCTAGTTATACAATCCTTTAGTTATGAAATGGTAGTGAGGTTGTAAGGGTTGTGAGGTTAAGGATTGTGAGGTTAAGGGTTGTGAGGTTAAGGGTTTTAAGGTTAAGGGTTGTAAGGTTAAGGGTTGTGAGGTTAAGGGTTGTGAGGTTAAGGGTTGTGAGGTTAAGGGTTGTAAGGTTAAGGGTTGTAAGGTTAAGGGTTGTAAGGTTAAGGGTTGTAAGGTTAAGGGTTGTAAGGTTAAGGGTTGTAAGGTTAAGGGTTGTGAGGTTAAGGGTTGTGAGGTTAAGGGTTGTGAGGTTAAGGGTTGTAAGGTTAGAGGTTGTGAGGTTAAGGGTTGTGAGGTTAAGGGTTGTAAGGTTAAGGGTTGTGAGGTTAAGGGTTGTGAGGTTAAGGGTTGTGAGGTTAAGGGTTGTGAGGTTAAGGGTTGTGAGGTTAAGGGTTGTGAGGTTAAGGGTTGTAAGGTTAAGGGTTATGAGGTTAAGGGTTGTGAGGTTAAGGGTTGTAAGGTTAAGGGTTGTGAGGTTAAGGGTTGTGAGGTTAAGGGTTGTGAGGTTAAGGGTTGTAAGGTTAAGGGTTGTGAGGTTAAGGGTTGTGAGGTTAAGGGTTGTAAGGTTAAGGGTTGTGAGGTTAAGGGTTGTAAGGTTAAGGGTTGTGAGGTTAAGGGTTTTAAGGTTAAGGGTTGTAAGGTTAAGGGTTGTGAGGTTAAGGGTTGTAAGGTTAAGGGTTGTGAGGTTAAGGGTTGTAAGGTTAAGGGTTGTAAGGTTAAGGGTTGTGAGGTTAAGTTACCATTAAGTCTGTCCCTCTGAGCGAGGAACTGTAAGAGCAGGCTCTGCAGAGCAGCACTCTTCCTGTTAGACAGGGGACACCTCGTGTTCAGCTCCCTCAGTGTTCTCACTAGAGTCTCGTAGGAGTTCTGGACCCAGGTACTGGGGATATTATGGTGTTAATAAGATAACTGTCATATCTTCCATCTTATTGTACTAGTTTATCATAATAGTATAAGTAAGTATGGTATACTGTATATTATATATTATTAATAACTATTAAACTGTCAGTATGGATGTAGATTATCTGTCTCGTATAATAATCCAAGTCGTTGTGCGGTTTAAAATAAGCCGCTCTTTCTGATGAACCAGGTATAATGGACCGCGAAATCGGTTAGATTAAGCGGAAATGACGTCCGTTAGATGGCAGCACTCAGAGGGTTGGTCAGAACAGGTCACCAGATCTCAATTATCATGGAATTAGCATCACAACTTACAGTATTTTCCAATAAATTTACAGTAAAACATGAGGAGAGAAGCGAGGATAATGACTGTTCATGATTATTAAAATGATTGTTCATGGTTAGGGTGGTAATCTAACTAAAGCACGCGTTTCCATCTTGTTACCGCTCCAGCCATTATCTCTTGTAACTGTGGCTTTGTGTGTTTGTTTCAGGTCATGAGGATCTTATCTCACAGATTAGGAGAGATTTGCAAATTACTGAGGATAAGTACGCGTAGTTGTGTTGACTTGAGTTTGACTAAGTTGTGTTGACGTTGTTTGTGACGTTCTGTAGAATGAAGGTAGGGTTACAAAACCAAGTTAGCTGGTTTACGATCATTGTTCGGACTTCGGACTTCGTCTCGTAATAAGATTTGGTATCGGTTTAACATGTGTTTTACCCTGTTAACATGTGTTTTACCCTGTTAACATGTGTTTTACCCTGTTAACATGTGTTTTACCCTGTTAACATGTGTTTTACCCTGTTAACATGTGTTTTACCCTGTTAACATGTGTTTTACCCTGTTAACATGTGTTTTGCCCTGTTAACATGTGTTTTGCCCTGTTAACATGTGTTTTGCCCTGTTAACATGTGTTTTGCCCTGTTAACATGTGTTTTACCCTGTTAACATGTGTTTTACCCTGTTAACATGTGTTTTACCCTGTTAGCATGTGTTTTACCCTGTTAACATGTGTTTTACCCTGTTAACACGTGTTTTACCCTGTTAACATGTGTTTTACCCTGTTAACATGTGTTTTACCCTGTTAACATGTGTTTTACCCTGTTAACATGTGTTTTACCCTGTTAACATGTGTTTTACCCTGTTAACATGTGTTTTACCCTGTTAACATGTGTTTTACCCTGTTAACATGTGTTTTACCCTGTTAACATATTGTGTTTTACCCTGTTAACATGTGTTTTACCCTGTTAACATGTGTTTTACCCTGTTAACATGTGTTTTACCCTGTTAACATATTGTGTTTTACCCTGTTAACATGTGTTTTACCCTGTTAACATGTGTTTTACCCTGTTAACATGTGTTTTACCCTGTTAACATGTTTTTTACCCTGTTAACATGTGTTTTACCATGTTAACATGTGTTTTACCCCATGTTAACACGTGTTTTACCCTGTTAACACGTGTTGTACCCTGTTAACATGTTTTTTACCCTGTTAACATGTGTTTTACCATGTTAACATCTGTTTTACCCTGTTAACATGTGTTTTACCATGTTAACATGTGTTTTACCCTGTTAACATGTGTTTTACCCTGTTAACATGTGTTTTGCCCTGTTAACATGTGTTTTACCCTGTTAACATGTGTTTTACCCTGTTAACATGTGTTTTACCCTGTTAACATGTGTTTTACCATGTTAACATGTGTTTTACCCTGTTAACACGTGTTTTACCCTGTTAACATGTGTTTTACCCTGTTAACATGTGTTTTACCCTGTTAACATGTGTTTTGCCCTGTTAACATGTGTTTTGCCCTGTTAACATGTGTTTTGCCCTGTTAACATGTGTTTTGCCCTGTTAACATGTGTTTTTACCCTGTTAACATGTGTTTTACCCTGTTAACATGTGTTTTACCATGTTAACATGTGTTTTACCCTGTTAACACGTGTTTTACCCTGTTAACACGTGTTGTACCCTGTTAACATGTGTTTTGCCCTGTTAACATGTGTTTTGCCCTGTTAACATGTGTTTTGCCCTGTTAACATGTGTTTTGCCCTGTTAACATGTGTTTTGCCCTGTTAACATGTGTTTTGCCCTGTTAACATGTGTTTTACCCTGTTAACATGTGTTTTGCCCTGTTAACATGTGTTTTACCCTGTTAACATGTGTTTTACCCTGTTAACATGTGTTTTAACCTGTTAACATGTGTTTTACCCTGTTAACATGTGTTTTACCCTGTTAACATGTGTTTTACCATGTTAACATGTGTTTTACCCTGTTAACATGTGTTTTACCCTGTTAACATATTGTGTTTTACCCTGTTAACATGTTTTTTACCCTGTTAACATGTTTTTTACCCTGTTAACATGTGTTTTACCCTGTTAACATGTGTTTTACCCTGTTAACATGTGTTTTACCCTGTTAACATATTGTGTTTTACCCTGTTAACATGTGTTTTACCCTGTTAACATGTTTTTTTACCCTGTTAACATGTGTTTTACCCTGTTAACATGTGTTTTACCCTGTTAACATGTGTTTTACCCTGTTAACATATTGTGTTTTACCCTGTTAACATGTGTTTTACCCTGTTAACATGTGTTTTACCCTGTTAACATGTGTTTTACCCTGTTAACATGTGTTTTACCCTGTTAACATGTGTTTTACCCTGTTAACATGTGTTTTACCCTGTTAACATGTGTTTTACCCTGTTAACATGTGTTTTACCATGTTAACATGTGTTTTACCCTGTTAACATGTGTTTTTACCCTGTTAACATATTGTGTTTTACCCTGTTAACATGTGTTTTACCCTGTTAACATGTTTTTTACCCTGTTAACATGTGTTTTACCCTGTTAACATGTGTTTTACCCTGTTAACATGTGTTTTACCCTGTTAACATATTGTGTTTTACCCTGTTAACATGTGTTTTACCCTGTTAACATGTTTTTTACCCTGTTAACATGTGTTTACCCTGTTAACATGTGTTTTACCCTGTTAACATGTGTTTTACCCTGTTAACATATTGTGTTTTACCCTGTTAACATGTGTTTTACCCTGTTAACATGTGTTTTACCCTGTTAACATGTGTTTTACCCTGTTAACATGTGTTTTACCCTGTTAACATGTGTTTTACCCTGTTAACATGTGTTTTACCCTGTTAACATGTGTTTTACCCTGTTAACATGTGTTTTACCCTGTTAACATGTGTTTTACCCTGTAAACATGTGTTTTACCCTGTTAACATGTGTTTTACCCTGTTAACATGTGTTTTACCCTGTTAACATGTGTTTTACCCGCTCAACATGTGTTTTACCCTGTTAACATGTGTTTTGCCCTGTTAACATGTGTTTTACCCTGTTAACATGTGTTTTACCCGCTCAACATGTGTTTTACCCTGTTAACATGTGTTTTACCCTGTTAACATGTGTTTTACCCTGTTAATATGTGTTTTACCCTGTTAACATGTGTTTCACCCTGTTAACATGTGTTTTACCCTGTTAACATGTGTTTTACCCTGTTAACATGTGTTTTACCCTGTTAACATGTGTTTTACCCTGTTAACATGTGTTTTACCCTGTTAACATGTGTTTTACCCTGTTAACATGTGTTTTACCCTGTTAACATGTGTTTTACCCTGTTAACATGTGTTTTACCCTGTTAACATGTGTTTTACCCTGTTAACATGTGTTTTACCCTGTTAACATGTGTTTTACCCTGTTAACATGTGTTTTACCCTGTTAACATGTGTTTCACCCTGTTAACATGTGTTTTACCCTGTTAACATGTGTTTTACCCTGTTAACATGTGTTTTACCCTGTTAACATGTGTTTTACCCTGTTAACATCTGTTTTACCCTGTTAACATGTGTTTTACCCTGTTAACATGTGTTTTACCCTGTTAACATGTGTTTTACCCTGTTAACATGTGTTTTACCCTGTTAACATGTGTTTTACCCTGTTAACATATTGTGTTTTACCCTGTTAACATGTGTTTTACCCTGTTAACATGTGTTTTACCCTGTTAACATGTTTTTTACCCTGTTAACATGTGTTTTACCCTGTTAACATGTGTTGTACCCTGTTAACATGTGTTGTACCCTGTTAACATGTGTTTTACCCTGTTAACATGTGTTTTACCTTGTTAACATGTGTTTTACCCTGTTAACATGTTTTTTACCCTGTTAACATGTGTTTTGCCCTGTTAACATGTGTTTTACAATTCGGTACAAATGTTTTTTAAATTCGAAAAGTATTGTTCGAAAATTTTGTAACGTGTGGTTTAGAAGAATAGTATCCAGAAACTATCGCCCAGCGATGGCTAAAATACAAGCAGGCACCAAAACTATTTGAACTATCATTCATCTCATTACACGAAATTAAGCTAACTACTAATTAAGAAAAAGGTTTTGTCTTTATCGGGTGGTTAGTAGATAGGAGGGTACAGGTACTAACCTGTACCCTCTGTACTATTCCTCCGTTTAACCGATCCTAATTACTATTGAGATGTACTCTGCAGTACTTACACAGGACTCTGTGAGCTGTGCTCAATAACCACCATTAACTATTAACTATTAACTATTAACCATTAACTATTCATCTAAATAATTCATTAAGAGCTAGTAGGAGGATATATCTGAATATTAACGTTTATCTACCTAGCTCCAAGGTTAGTACCCTGCTAGATTGTTAGATTATATAATATATATTGTTAAAAGCAAATTCCTGCAGCATTCCTCTGCCTACCTGGTTTCTGGCACCAAAACAACTATTGTTACTATTGTTACTATTGTTATGCAACTTATTACTATTGCCCGCGAGATATCCTCATTGCTAGATTTCAGTGTTCTTTTGTCCGCTCTCATTACAGTTAACATTACTAATTACACAATGTGCACGTGTATTAATAAGTACAATAACAGTAATTACACCCAAAACAACTTAATTAATTTGACGTAACTTGTGAATGCATTAAATTAGGGTGCTTTCAATTTCACCTTGATTAAGTGTGTGTTCCTTTAAATTATCTCTATTTCATTGAGTGACTAATTCTGTGTAACAAGCCATCTATACTGATTATTTATTCAATTCCTGTCATACTAAATTCTTGTCTGCAGGAAGGATGCAGGGTTATGTTTCCAGCACGCTGCTACTGCTTACTTCTCTCTCTTCCTCCTCCTCCCTGCTTTGCTACCACTGTGAGAAGTGGACGGTTAACGTGTCCCTAATATACGCAGAGTCCACAGACTGCCTGAGCGCAGACAAAGCTCGGCAGTGTTTTGAAGGCGGGGTGTGTGTGGAGGGGAACTCAGTACACAAATACAACATACCTCAGGCAGACGAGCACGTGCACGTATACTACAAGGGGTGCGACCACACGTGCGCGCAGAGGAGGGCTGATAGGGAGTTGTACTCTGAGATACACTGCAATGAGAGGGTGTGCGAGACTGACTTGTGCAATGATATGCCAATGGAGGAAGCCACATTGTACCGTGGACTAGATCAAGATGAAAATAACGGAGAAGAAGAAGGAGCTCTTGTAAACGAAGGTGAAGTTGTGGATGACAATGTCAGCAAACGTCAAGATACTGATGAACAAGTAGATGATGAACAAGTAGATGATGAACAAGTAGATGATGAACAAGTAGATGATAGCGAAGTTGTTGATGAAGATGTTAACGACGTCGAAGATGAAGTTGTTGATGACAATGCCAAGTACAATGTTACCGATATTCTAGAAGAAGGCTCAGTAAGCGAGGTGAGTGATAAGAACTGCGCAACAGTTCTCATCACTCCACTCTTCCTCCTAACGGTTGTCGTGTTGTTTATCTAGTTACCATGGTTACCAGGTGTTGTTTATCTAGTTACCATGGTTACCAGGTGTTGTTTATCTAGTTACCATGGCTACCAGGTGTTGTTTATCTAGTTACCATGGCTACCAGGTGTTGTTTATCTAGTTACCATGGTTACCAGGTGTTGTTTATCTAGTTACCATGGTTACCAGGTGTTGTTTATCTAGTTACCATGGCTACCAGGTGTTGTTTATCTAGTTACCATGGCTACCAGGTGTTGTTTATCTTGTTACCATGGTTACCAGGTGTTGTTTATCTAGTTACCATGGTTACCAGGTGTTGTTTATCTAGTTACCATGGTTACCAGGTGTTGTTTATCTAGTTACCATGGTTACCAGGTGTTGTTTATCTAGTTACCATGGTTACCAGGTGTTGTTTATCTAGTTACCATGGTTACCAGGTGTTGTTTATCTAGTTACCATGGTTACCAGGTGTTGTTTATCTAGTTACCATGGTTACCAGGAGTTGTTTATCTAGTTACCATGGTTACCAGGTGTTGTTTATCTAGTTACCATGGTTACCAGGTGTTGTTTATCTAGTTACCATGGTTACCAGGTGTTGTTTATCTAGTTACCATGGTTACCAGGAGTCAGGACTAACAAGCAGACAAGTAGTCACTACTAGTGTATACAGTTATACTACTAACGTACCATCACACAAAACATTGTCATATTATTATGTCATGTCCTAGTTTTACTGTATTGCTTATGGCTAAATTTAAATTTTTTTGGACATTTAAAATATAATTTTGAACATTACATTATTTAAATCTCAAACAGGATTGATTGCATGATATTTGGTTGAGTAGTAGTGGTGAAGTGAAACATGTTGGAAGTGCCAGCCAGTATCTCTGTCAAGTGAACAGCCCACAGAGGAGTAGTGGTGAAGTGAAACATGTTGGAAGTGCCAGCCAGTATCTCTGTCAAGTGAACAGCCCACAGAGGAGTAGTGGTGAAGTGAAACATGTTGGAAGTGCCAGCCAGTATCTCTGTCAAGTGAACAGCCCACAGAGGAGTAGTGGTGAAGTGAAACATGTTGGAAGTGCCAGCCAGTATCTCTGTCAAGTGAACAGCCCACAGAGGAGTAGTGGTGAAGTGAAACATGTTGGAAGTGCCAGCCAGTATCTCTGTCAAGTGAACAGCCCACAGAGGAGTAGTGGTGAAGTGAAACATGTTGGAAGTGCCAGCCAGTATCTCTGTCAAGTGAACAGCCCACAGAGGATTGGGTGAGCGCATGCGCGAGAATGCCTCCGGGTAGTGCTCCTCAATCAGCAGAAATTATGCCGTTTTCAAATTTTAACTTATACATAAATATTACAAAAATGTTTGTGTGTGCTTGCAAGTTTTTATATTTTATTCATTTAAATATTTGTTTTTTATACAAATGAGTCTTTGTTTGTGAATAAGAGTTTCATTTTTAGAAGAGGTTTATTTTAGAATACTCAGAAATAAACAATGAACTGAAATACTAATAAACCTAAACCAATCTGGGCTTCCCACCACCATGGTGTTCCTAAATCTCTGCTTAAGTAGCTTCCCTCACATTGACATTCCAATTGATGATAGAGCTTACGGTAGGACTAGAGGATAGCTCACCGCTGGGAGGATCGCGATGTAATGGTAAATGTATATGTAATGGTAATTCTGAATGTTTTTATGATAATGAAATCTCCGTAGCTCGAGTCTTTATCAGCCCAGATAGGTCTCCAGAGGAAGGTGCCGAGCCGGAGCAGCTTGTTTTAGAACTCAAGAACCTGGTAACCTAGTAACCTGGTAACCTGGTAACCTGGTAACCTAGTAACCTGGTAACCTGGTAACCTGGTAACCTGGTAACCTGGTAACCTGGTAACCTAGTAACCTGGTAACCTGGTAACCTAGTAACCTGGTAACCTGGTAACCTGGTCTCCAGAGGAAGGTGCCGAGCCGGAACAGCAGCAGCAGTTTGTTTCAGAACGCAAGAAGAGATCGAACGACGAGCCAGACAAAAGATATTTCATCAAAGGAGGCAAATTGTGTAGTGTGGACAAATAACTAATCTTGAAAACTGTTTGTGAGAAACGTTTCTGTTACACACTACTGTACAATAGGAGACAAGGCACTGAGGAGCGAGGAACCAGCCCGAGGTAAATACAAAAAGAACAACTGCTTATAACGCGTCATTTCGATCCCTCCTTAATTCTTTTTCTAAGATATTTATTTAACAAATTTCATCTTACAAAATTTCTTCCTGCCATTCTTTCAAAACATTTCACCTCCATTCTTTCAAAACATTTTACCTCTATTCTTTCAAAACATTCCATTGTCAAATACTAAACATAGGCTAGGAAGTTCTCACCATTTCTGACATTTCTTTCTCCCCAGTGCTAGACTCCGTGCTCCATTTGTATATCCAGTGGCGTAACGAAGGGGGGGGGGAGGGCTCCGTCTTAGTGGGGCGCCAACAGGCAACGTAACGCCACTGTGCGGGGGGGGGGGGGGGGGGGGGGGTGGGGCGCCGTCTTAGTGGGGCACCAACAGGCAACGTTACGCCACTGTGCGGGGGGGGGGGGGCTCCGTCTTAGTGGGGCGCCAACAGGCAACGTTACGCCACTGTGCGGGGGGGGGCTCCGTCTTAGTGGGGCGCCAACAGGCAACGTTACGCCACTGTGCGGGGGGGGGGGGGCTCCGTCTTAGTGGGGCGCCAACAGGCAACATTACGCCACTGTGCGGGGGGCGCCGTCTTAGGGGGGCGCCAACAGGCAACGTTACGCCACTGTGTATATCGCCTATTCTTTAGAACTTTATACTTTTATACTGTTCAATTCTCAAAACGAATATTGTAACCCAGATTATGCTAAACTCCATTTGTATATCGCATATTCTTTAGAACTTTATATACTTGTATACTGTTCAATTCTCAAAACGAATATTGTAACCCAGATTATGCTAAACTTAAAATGTGTAATCCAGAGTGTCGCCTACAACAAAGGACTCAGCTAGAGTTTACATTTAAACACTGTACAGTCTGCATCTGTTCGTTTATTTGTATAAAAGTTCAAAGCATTTTAAAGATAAGCTAAGTTTACTGCTGCATTACTGCAAGTTTTAATTGTTCCCCCTCATAATGTTGGCGTGAGCGTATAATACTGCAATACTCGTATTGCAGGATGTTATATTCTACTCTGGCTAGTGAGTTGGTTGTTAGGGAGTCTGTTGTTATGGAGTTAGTTGTTAGGGAGCTAGTTGTTAGAGATTTAGTTGTTAGGGAGTCAGTTGTTAGGGAGTTAGTTGTTAGGGAGTCAGTTGTTAGGGAGTCAGTTGTTAGGGAGTCAGTTGTTACTTGTTAGGGAGTCAGTTGTTAGGGAGTCAGTTGTTAGGGAGTCAGTTGTTAGGGAGCTAGTTGTTAGGGAGTCAGTTGTTAGGGAGTCAGTTGTTAGGGAGCTAGTTGTTAGGGAGTCAGTTGTTACTTGTTAGGGAGTCAGTTGTTAGGGAGTCAGTTGTTAGGGAGTCAGTTGTTAGGGAGCTAGTTGTTAGGGAGTCAGTTGTTAGGGAGTTAGTCGTTAGGGAGTCAGTTGTTAGGGAGTTAGTTGTTAGGGAGTCAGTTGTTAGGGAGTCAGTTGTTAGGGAGCTAGTTGTTAGGGAGTTAGTTGTTAGGGAGTCAGTTGTTAGGGAGTTAGTTGTTAGGGAGTCAGTTGTTAGCGAGTCAGTTGTTAGCGTGGTAGTTGTTAGGG